GATTTCTATTACTGTGATAGATGCATTGTTGTTTTCTTACATAACGGACGCTTACAACTGTTAGCGAGTTATTAATGTAATGAGCGGTAGCCTACTGTAATAGAAACAACTTCTTTGTATACAGTTACATTTCAATTTTTCGTATTTCTGCATGATTATGATATAAATATGCATCGTTCAAGTGTTTGAAATAATTTTGTTTTCCACAGATAGCATATTTTTAGTTGCCAGTTGGGATAAAATGTATATTTCGATTACACTTGTACTATCAATTGTCAAAAATGTTTTAATAAGTTAAAAGTATCTTTTGACAAAATTATCATATGAAATAATAATTCATATTTCATAGTATGCCTATTTAAAACAAGATTATTAAGGAATTTGAGCTATTTTTGGCTTCGTAGTTAACATTATTTTCTTATAGGAAATCTTAAAATGAGCCCCTCATATGTTACAGGTATGCAGTAATGATTCTTTAAAGTATGATCTCAAATTGCAATACAAGTTAACAAATTTAGGAAAAGTCAACTTATAAGTTAATAACGCATATTTCATAGCACAGCAGTTGTACAATAAACTGATTCGGAATTTGATATGATTATTTCTTGATAATCATAGACATTTGTGTCAATTTGAAAATTTGAAAATGAAATGTATCAGTGCTAAAAAAAAAGGTGATCTTTTTTCAAGGTCCTTCTGAATTTGTAACAGCAGGTCATCAGTGTTTAATTGTGGGGTACGTATTTTCTTCTACAAATTTGATGCTATAGTAATGTTATACTTATACCCAATTAATGTGTAATTGAATGTGTCATCAAATTTAAAATTAGCATGAAACAAGTTGGTCATCAGCACCTGGAGATGAAAAGAAAAAATATTCTAAAAATCAAATTTCATATTTTTGGCATGAAATATGAATATTAATCAGAACATATGCAACTGTCTCAAATGTTTGCAATTAAAATACCTCGGTACATATCTCTCATTGCTTAACATATACTTTTTTAAGAATGGAATTTGTTCTGCGGTTTGAATAAAATGAGTCCAACGATGCCCTTGAAAGTAACATTTATTGATTTTCCTTCATTTTGGTTTGTACTAGTACCTAATATTCATATTTAATCATTACCATTGAAATTACTGTCTATATATACACCTTAGGTACCGTAAGTGTTATTATTCACGGCTGATAAAAGAGGAAACGACAAAGCGTTGGAATTGTGCATTTTTCGTGCCTTTTATTTAACATGGAATTCTGTCATTTCTACATGTTTCATTTTACCATGGCGGTACATGAATTCACGCCAATATTATAATTGCATTACACACATATTTGAGTATCCAAGCCAATTACAAAACTAGTGCTGGAATCTAAGCTGAAAAATGAGGAATCATGTGAATAAATGTAATCTGCATCCCATACATAAACCTTAAAATCAAAATATGTGAAATCCAATCATGTAGCCAGAGAAGGGTTAAACCACGGCTAGAAACCCCTTCTCGTTAACAAATGTCCCCTCTGCATTGCCACGAGCACCCCTTGCTAAGCGTCAGGAATGCCCGATCAGACGGGGAAGATTTGTATGTAACCCGGATGAACCACCCATTCCCAGCTCTCATCAACGATTCCAGCAAAAGTGCATTACACACAAATTTGAGTATCCAACCCAATTACAAAACTAGTGCTGGAATCAATGCTGGAAATTGAGGAAATTTGCACCCCATACATAACCTGATATCCAAGCGTTTAGCCATCAGGAATGCCGCCCGATCAAACGGGGAAAATTGTATGTAACCCGGGTGCGCGCGCACCACCCATTTCCAGCTCTCATCAACGATTCCAGCAAAATTGTTCCCAACCGGGCTCCATCACTTCACTCCAGGTATACCTACCCGCATATAAAATCGAGCGAGGCTCCTGAAATTACTTGTCTTACGAATGGTAATATAATTTCTTGCTATTATATGTAAGTGTGATGAAGGCCCAAATTGATAAATTCCGCCAACGAGCAAATTAAATAGCTCGCCGCCAAAGAACACGGTTTCACTGGATAGCCTATAAGTGAGCTTAAAGCGAAAATTCTCAACAATAATTAATTGAAGCCAACTAATTACCAAGCACGAATGTATATCCACTCCGGAAACCATATACACATATACCCGGTACCGCAGGGAACCCTTGCTTTTTTTTTTTTTTTTTTTTTTTTTTTTTTTTTTTTTTACAGGTTTATCGTCTAGGCTCAATAACATAAACTGAAACACTACAACGTTACGTAACATAATAAAACCGCGATATCATGCCGTGCGGTGTTACCTAACCAGATTTCAGACCTACTCCCTCAACTTCCATTACTCCATAATGGTATAAACCTTCCTTTATAACCGCCACCAATAACCACCCATAAATATATATTCCTATTAATAACTAATTGATAGCTCCACACAAAGTGGAGAACAAGAACCAAAAGGTTTACATATTTACAAACTTTGTACTTCAAAGACATATGATTCATACATATTCTGTATAAAAATTATGACACACTTGTCAATTCGTAATGACCTTGCCCCCACGGACATTCTTTCAAAATCTTAGCAACCTCCTAAGATACCTAATTTGCCACTTCAATATACAGACAAATCTCAAAACTTTTGGCTACCAATGTGCCCTTTCCGGCCTCTCCATGAGGTTAACAGAAAAACAAAGGTAAAAGATATCATAACTGTTCCTAAATAGTCGCCCCAGTATTTATCGCATGCGATTCCAGTCCGATATCCAGGTTTAAATAAGTCGATACCGCTACCCATAAACATGATAAACAAACCATATTAGTATCTACACAGTCATCGTAAACGTGACGTCGTTCCAGAAAGCACAACTACAACAGATATATCTACCAACAGATATATCTACCAAGTGCAAACACTTACATGAAACACATGCCAAATATAGAAAAAGAAAGTCGAGTTTGTTTTACTTCCCATTATCAGTGCCAGACTTTTTTGGTTTTGTTTCGTTTTGTTTTGCTTAACTCTGCCCCCAAAAGTGACCTTCTCGTGTAACAATAGCTTATGTTGTATTGCATCTTTCGGGGTCATCTTGATCTCCCTTGGAAGACACCATCAGGGCCCCGTTTAAAGCTTATCTGCCGTAGTTTACAGGAGGGATTAGACTGCCCTGCAAGGTCACTGGACAGGTGGTTATCTCATCAACTCAGCTCTCAGTTAACAAAAGAAAAAGAGGATCATGGGGGACCAATGGTCACCGATTAGGCATTGTTTTATATATAGGGGGCAAGTAGCTACAAGTAATGCAGTGGGCCTTTAAAAAAACTTGTCATCAGTGACAAATGACAGTTTTTGTAATAAGCTACTGAAATCCTTGCTTCTGATTGGTTATCAGCAGATTTGTCACTGATTTTTGTCATTTTTCATTGTAAAAAAGCTTTGTGAACCCCCCCCCCCCTTCCCCCTGGACTTTGAAATGCCCTCGAAGATATTGTTTCAAATTGTTTTTATTTCAATATATACTCACTCAAGGAAACATAACATTGCTCTCTTATTTAATAGCAATAGCTTATTTTGTATTACATCTTTCGGTTTCGTCTCTAATCGCTCAATTTACCCCCTCTCTTTCTCTCTCTCTCTCTCTCTCTCTCTCTCCCTCTCTCAGTTTCTCTCCATTTTTCTATGATAATTTCTCATTCCAGCTACCCCCCTCTCTTTTTGCCTTGCCCTCTCCCTACCCATATATCATACTTTGATATAAAGTTATGCATAACAAATTGTACTATACAACAAACATAATGAAGACAGTTCTGCGTATATTTTCTATATAATGAGACCAGTACGATGTTTGATATAAACGCACAACAGAGTTTGATCTGTATATTTAAATAAATGAATAACCTGCTTACTGATGCACTCAAGAATTTCTATGTATTAAATAATAATATTCATTGTTATCCTACTCGGAATGCACTGAACTTTCATTTGATTAATACTAAATGATTGTTCCTGCATAAATCAATCAGACATCATGGTCAATATTTATGGAATGCATTCCCAGATTTAGTAAAATCATGTCAAACCCTTCATTCATAAAACTTAATACGAAGACAGCATTTCTGTCAAAGTACATTGTTTGATCTTTTCCCGGAGCTGAATTAATATATTTAATATCATTAAATAAATTATATAAACACTCATCACTGTATTTGATTAATCCCATATAGGCCTATTTATATTAGTTTTCTAAGTCAGACATAATTATTTACATCAATATATTTCCATTTTCATTTTCGATGTCATCATTATCAATATCATCACCATCATGATTGCGTAGCACCAGAAGTCTCAAGTTTGACAGATATGAGCGCTTGACAAGAATCCACCATTAATATCATCATCAGTGACCATCACCATTTTCCACCCACCCCCCCCCCCCCCCCCCCCCACCTGGGCTATCGCTATCAAGTGCTTACTGTGTTAGCCCTTCTTCTGCAGTTGTATCACTGTATTGATTTCATTTGTATGTTGCAGAAGAATTTCAATTCAATTCAACCTAATATATCATGTAGCGGTTTCGTTGGAACGTGGATCACATAGTGCCGCCGCGGTACTCTGTCCTTTGGCAAGACATTATTCTACAGTTTACTCTCTTAACCCAGGTATAATAAATGTGTAGGAATGTTTTCGTTCAGGAAGATGTCCGAGGTTTATTGTCTTTGGCGGTAGTTGTCATGGGGAATTTTTGGGTAGTAGTCCTTGGGGATGTTTCACAAAGACTAAGATCGACTTTAAGTTGGACTTAACTGTGGCATGCCATTCATGCCACTGGTTGCTATCATCACTGGTCTCTCAATTATGATCTTTAGATACCATTGTTTCCGTCAATGATGAACTATCAAAAAAGGTAAATTTTGTGGATTTGTGACCACGATTTTTACGTCCCTTGAGAGACCAAGGCCAGTAAATGGTGAGGGTAAACAGTGGCATGAACAGCCTGCCATAGTTAAGTCAAACTTAAAGTCGATCTTAGTCTTTGTGAAACACTCCCCTGGAGTGATAGGTTGAGGATGCCCATCCGGGGAAGTTGTCTTGATAAGGGATATCGCTGTTTGTTGTGATGTACATATACATTTCAGTGGTTAAACCAGAGACGGGTCCCTAGCTTAACATACAGAGCAATAGGCTAACCTTTAGAGGGCGCCTGCCAAAATATCAAGGTCCAGCATTATTAAGAAAAGGTAATGTTGTCTTTAGATCTTTACAAATTCTGCTGATCTGCGACAGACTAATCAGGGCTACTATCTTTGATAAAATGTTGGTATATGTTGCTGTGTGAGGCTTCCATCTCCGAGTGGCATTCCGTTACAGATCCAAAAACAATATTAACTTTATCACATAGTACATATCTAAAGATTTTCGTAGTCATTTTCGTTGAGTTGCTTAGGTGCCAGAGACGTGTCATCCGCAATAAGCTCCAGATATTCCGGCTTCGCGATCTTAAGAGCCTGGTAACTATTGTTTTCTTTATCATCTTTTTGGCATAAATCTTGATATGCGTTCTCGTTCAATTTGCTTGGAGTCACGGGAATCTTGTCATCGTCTGGCCCTTGATTTAAACCAATACCCACAGCCTTCTTCACATTATATCCCGTAGTAATTTCCTGGTAGGTCCCTTCTCTTAAAAGGTCTTGGTAAGGACCTTGTGGAGAAACATCATGTCCAATCTCCGGTAAATGGTACTCATGATATTCATCTTGTTCTTTGCAGACCTCTTCTCCTACCACATTGTAGATGTCCACGTTGTCTTGGTTTGAACATGGAACAGAGGTATGGAGCTCCGTGTAGTCGTGTTTCAGGGCATCCTCCAGAGACCCGGTAGTGATTGCGGTATTGGACGGACTCATCGGGTTAGCGCACTCTGCGTATTCATTTTGATCGTTGTCAATCATGTAGTTCGGGTTAGCAACTTCTTTTGAGGTTTGATGTGGTCCCTGATCTTTTGTTGATGAAAATCGCCTATAAAGAAAAAAGTTAGTTTCCAAATGTAAGCGATAGTAATAAGGGTTGGGCAAGAATAAGTCAAAGCCATGCTTCCTGGAGTGGCAATATTTTGTAATGTACTCGAAATTATTACTAGATACCCTTCGCCTCTGGATATAATTTCAACATCGGTGATACCATAAAAAGCATTTATGGGAGAACATTTTATGAAGGTTAGCCTATGCCTACACCACAGTTTGTTTCATGGATATAATATCTATAGGCCTACAGCAATGTACAAGTGAACTTATTAATTGACAGGTACTTTTTGTAATAAGACGCCTAGGTAGATACTGGTAAATAATTTCGATCGTCAAAGGAATACTGAAGGAAAAGTTCGTCTACTGAAGAATTAATGGTATAAATGATGATACTATTGTTTCTCAGGAACTAAAAAAATGAGCTACTAGAGTCGGGTTACACGTACCGTCGCCTATAGCAAATAACTGCAACAATAACGGCTGTAAGGATGACAGCAATTAATAGAACGACTACAACTGGAACCACTGCACCACGATGACCTGCTGAAAAAAGCAATGTTGCATTTTTTAGGTAGATTAAAAATTTTGATATTTTTAGACTCATGTAACAATTTAATGCTCAGGAATGTTGTTTAATTTAGTTCAGTTCTATTCATTTCATATTTTACATTTCACACCGTTACACCATTGGCAAGAAAGATAGTAATACATATTTTAATAACATTTGGAATAACATAAGTACTAAAGTAAAGTATATGTAATCCCTTTGCTTGTAGTTACTCGTAAATTGGGGACTACTGTAAATTCTAGCAATGCTAATTTAACAAAACAAAAATGTGTTGACATTATTAAAGAGAAAATTATATCCCATAAGATAGACATTATTCGAAACCGTTGGAACATTTATATGCTCCGGGCTCTATTTCAACAAAAGTATTCAGAGAGGGTAAGGATTGCAATCGGGTTTTATGTTAGGTTTAGGTTAAGGTTTAGGATTAGTATTAAGCATCGTGTTGACTCCAGGGATGAAGTCAGAATTCGGGTGGTCGAGGAAATTACTCGAAGCAATTGTCGCATGAGCTTGTGTCATAAAACATTTGATTGCAATTCGTGCAATCATTTGCAAATATTCCGTGTTTTAAAGGTTTTTGTCTGATTAATGTGGTAACTTACCAGAAGCTGGTGGCGATGGGCTCATGGTTGTCACGGTAGCCAGTGGATCCACTGAATGAGTAGAAATAATAAAACAAAAATAATAAAATATCATTATGCGCGACAAATAGGCATGCAAAGAAAAGCTAAGCTGAATTTGTATTTGTTCTTTTTTAAACAATAACGTTTGAAATTGCGAGGCGGTAGAATTACATGATAACACCAGTTAAAATACAATGTACAAACATAAAAAAAAGGCTAGTGAGACAACCTGGTAGGTAAGAGCAGCGTTGTTCAACCTTTTTTTTTAGTCACGAAACCTTTTTGAGAGATACATATTTTCGCCTAACCCCAATCCTAAATTCATCATAGAAGATTAATTTTGAATCACTCTGGCACTCGTCAAGTGCCATGTATACACGTAACGGCACATTGGTTTCTAAATATTTTCGAGGGAGCAAGGCAGGTGAGAAAAGTATTACAAGTTGATACTGGAGAATGGGAATTTAGACGGGAACAACTATGATAATGATGATAATGTTCTGCGTTTTACATATATACAAAGATTTAAGATGTCTCTAAGGGTTTACCAGATATATTATTACCCCATTTATCGGATTCAGGGTTGCCCGCACACAGTTTATTCACATTCGACACTACCTTTACAGACGTTCATAATGCTGAGCAAACAGGCTATTAAACCTACGGGGTACCAAATTAACATCTGGGTAAAGAGAGTCAAATGTGGATTAATAGTTTGCCAAATGACGTTTAATTAATGCAGGGCCGGGCTTCGAACCCCGGTTTCAGTGCGAGTCAAGTGAATAAACCACTACATCACGACATCTCCACTTTGCTATTTGTAGGCGAGTTGTCATGCATTATTCATCGTGAGTTTCATTATTGAGGGTGTCGTACAACTCCAACCACCACTGCAGATTTATTTCATTGTCTCATGCCATTGTAAACCGATATTTCTTTGTTTTAATAATGTGGACAACCATATAGAAAATTAACGAAGCACTATTAATAAACCATTAATTTATATGTAACAAATGAATCAGAAAATGTCTGCTTACCAATACAACCTGTTCCATTGAAAGTATATCCTTCATTGCAGAGGCACGTGAATGATCCAGGAGTGTTCGTACATGCAGAATTTGCGTAACAATTGGAGTCGCCAATTTCACATTCATTGACATCTAGATTTAAAAAAAGAAAGAAAAAGGAGTAAGGATCCATTAAAGAGTAATCTGTTAATTATTTACATTGGGCCTAAAGCAGTCCATCATATAATGTTTAAATCTTGAATTACCACTCTTATCATTTACCTAATTTCTCCAAAAGAACATTTTTATCCATCATCAGTATCTTTATTGTGGGCGTTGTACATCTCCAACCACCACTGCCGATTTATTTCATTGTTTTATGCCACTGTAAACCGATATTTCTTTGTTTTAATAACGTAGACAACCAAATGAAATACTTACCAAAGCACGATAAGCCATGGATTTGTATGTAACAAATGAATTAGAAAAATGTCTGCTTACCAGTACAACCTGTTCCATTGAAAGTATATCCCTCATTACAGATGCACGTGAATGATCCAGGAGTGTTCGTACATGCAGAATTTGCGTAACAATTGGAGGTTCCAATTTCACATTCATTGACATCTAGATTAAAAAAAAAAAAAAAGTAAGGATCGATTAAAGAGTAATCTGTTAATTATTTACATTAAGCATAAAGCAGTCCATCAATTAATGTTTAAATCTTGAATTATCACTCTAATCATTCACCTAATTTCTCCCAAAGAACAATAACAATATTCCGGGCACAGTGGATTTTGACCATCGCTTAATGTGGCGGGGTAAGGGCGCTGCAGGCCCCTGCTAATTTCGAAATCTATTCGGACAACCCTCACGTAATATTCGGACAAACGTCATGGCTTTTGGACGTTTTTTTGTGCGATATCAAATTTGATGAAAAAATTACTTTGACGCTGTTATAGTAAAAGGTACGAGAATTTGATATCCTGCAAGAGACGTCACTTCTTTTTCCGTATGGTCATGTCAGATGCTAAAGACACAACGTTATCGAGCTTGATTTTCGAATAGACCTATTATCCGTAGCTGATTACCTGTGCAAGTGGACCCACTCCCTCTGTATCCAGGATTACAGGCGCATTTGAAAGATCCTGGAGTGTTGGTACATGCAGCATTGGTGTTACAGGTGTCTGGTCTACTTGTACACTCATCGATGTCTAAAGATATGTAATGATTGAAAGAAGAGCTAGTGATAAATAAGGGCGGTCAAATTATTTTATTCTTTCAAAGACAGAAATCTGTTATTTCCATCGTATCTAGTTTGTTAGTAAATCAGTCAGATGCTCCCTGCTGATTTTAAAGGGCAATCCCACATTTTTAAATGAGTTGTATGGAAGCAGAACAATTATAAAATACAGAATGGGGAAGGTTATGGATTTTTGAAATATGAGATCAGTAAATATATGCGAATATCAACTTGGCAAATTGGTCAGGGGATTGTGACAACCATGAACAACTCTCCCGCTTGTTGTGTGCAAAGAATATCCTTGTTTTCCATTTTTCTCTCGAGGGCTTTCTCTCTTGTAGCACTACTCAAAATACATTAATATTATTGGTAGCATTTTTTTGCAGGTCCTCGTAAAAGAAAATCTCCTCCTGAGTCATGCACTTTAAAAAAAAACTTAAATTTTAGTCATTTTGTATGTTGGAACATTTGAGAACTTTGTTCTGCCTCCAAGTGATATTACCGAATCAATTTGAAATTCCAATAAGCATAGTGACAACAGTTTTATTTTTTTCATGTTATGTCCCATTTCGTTCAAACTTTCAAAAGGCTCCTTTTCTGATTGTTCTGATTTCTGTCAGGTTAATTTGCTAATAAATAGCGATATTGGGGTAGACTCGGTAGAGGGAGTAAAGTTGTACTTTCGTTCAACCTTCAAACTATCATTGTAGTTATTCAAGTCATTGTTTCATACCAATGCAGCTGAATCCGTTGCCGGTGTATCCAATTTTACAGACGCAGAAGAAAGAACCTGGAGCGTTTTGACATGATGCATTTGCATCACAACTGTGAGTACCGGCTGCACATTCGTCGAAATCTTGACAATTCAATAAGATTGATACAATACATGAGCTTTGAAGAAAAAAAAAATCATTGAAAATAATAAATTAATCTAATTAGTGTAAAGACGAGACGTTAGCCATTATTTTTTCTTCTTCTTTTCATTCTTCTTCTTTTTGTTCTTATTGTTCTTTTCATCTTGTTGTTTTTCTTTTTTTTCTTCATCATCATCTTCTTCTCATTTCTTCCCCTACCTCTTTTTTTTCCTTCTTATTCTTCATTTTGTTTGGTTTTTGTTGCTTTATTCTCTTCTCTTCATAATTACTTTATATTAGTATTATTCTGTGCCGGTGTCTGGAGATTTATACAAAGTAAAAGTCAAACGAGGTAGGGGTGAACTGAATGATTGCGATTCGGAACACTTTAGATGGCGTTATCGATTAGTTGCATAGTCACGGATTGTATTAAAGATGCGGGCTTTTGTTTAATTATTCTTATTGAATTGATGTGAATTAGAAGTTGAGATCCAATCCGCCCGGATCAATAGGTCCATTTTTCCAGGGGCCCAACTCACAAGCATAACCTTTGGAGTCCCAATGTGGATCATGTTTGTTCGTCATTATTAATGTGTCTAGTATTTTTGTAATAGACTGAACTGAACTGAACTGACAGAAAAAAGCGTTACCTGTGCATGTGTAGGCTACCTCGAGGTACTTATGTACTCCTCGGCACGGATCACCAGCAAGGCTATTCGTTGCTGTAATTCTGCATTGCGATTGGCCGTTACAATCTGGACCGAGAACATCCACTACGTCTACTCTACAAGTCGTGTCTGATACTTGTTGGTGAGGACAGGTTGTGCTATCTGTTCGTCCGTAGACAGCAGTGCAAATGTTGATAAGGCCCTCTCCGCAATTGATGTCAGTAGTAACCCTCTCACAGACAATTAACTTCTCTGCATGTTGAAGAAAAGAGTAGACCACTAGTACTGGCTTAAAGCTAATCTTAAGCTCTGGTATGCGGCATCGTATATGTCGAGAGAACATGGCTATAATTTATTCTGGATTGTTCATCCTGCAGTAGATTGACTGTTCAAACCAGTAAAATAAAAACAATCTCACAAAAACTTGCTGGAAATCATCTATGATACAAAAAATCACAACTCCCATCTGCTCATAGTGACTTGTGTTAAACTCAGTGTGGTGTCGGGCTTTCTTACTTTGATTTCCTCACCTTTCTATGCTCATTACTCAGCCCCCTATATGTTTTCTACCATTTATTTGTACTCTTGAACATTCAGTGTAAGTTTTGATGGATTCTGTGAGAATTTATTTTCTATCATCATTAGAACTCAAGCTTATATTTAAAGTAACCTGGCAGTATGTAAATCTTCGACCTTAGTTCACAGTTTAAGATAGTCGTGTTTCCATTCAGACCCTTTTGGACATACTAATGCGATGGAAGAATAACATGGGATATATATCATAACCATTATTATAGGCCATATTTATTAAGAATATGCTAGTTGTAAACGATGAAAAATCGTTAATGAAATAATATTAAAAGTTGTATCAAATGTATTACACGACGAGTAGCCTATACAAAAGAGAAGAAGTTCCCCGTCCTTGATAGAGAGTCCTGGAGCTGCCACTGTGATTTTTGTTTTACCACCTATTTCTAAAGACCAGCGAGATTTGCTTACCACATTCCTGAGTTGTGACTAATGATGCTTGCATGAGGACTAGCAAAGAGAAGGATACATGAAGCACCATCATACCTATCCTCTCTGCCCAGGCCATGACTGTCCAGTTTTGAAGGTGTTATCGAGTTCTGGTAGAGAAGAAAATGAATTGTTTCAGAATTAGCGAGGGTAACGTGGTATAGTGGTTCGTTCACTCGACTCTCAATCTTATGGTTGAGGGTTCGAATAGTAAAATAACGACCTTCGGCAAGACATGTACCCACATGTGTTACTATAATCCACCCATGTGTAGGTGGGTAACTTTGGTAATAATGATTACAGGATCCTCTACAAGAACAGGAATGATGCTGATGAAGCTTTCCTGGGTAAATAACCGGAGTGTTGGCTCAGTCAGTAGAGCGTCCGCCTCACAACCGGGAGGTCGTGGGTTCGAACCCCGACCGCGTCATACCAAAAGACGTTAAAAGATGTGAGTTGCTGCTACCTTGGCTACCTTGGCGTTCAACAATAAGGGATAGAGCAACGTCGATCTGGCGCTGCTCAGTGGCTGCCGGGCTCACGATCAATTGGGCAAAAAGAATTTCCGTTTCGGTTTAATAAAATTTGGAGTGGACTAAAAGATGATTATTATTATTATTATTATTATTATTATTCCTATTTTAATTATCATCAACATCATTATTATCGTTATTATCATTAGTAGTAGTAATCATTGTTGTTGTTCACGTTATTATATATTTATCAAACTTAACTAGCTACAAGATAATCAAGACCGCAGGGCAATAGATATCAGCCAAGATTTTCCGGCAAAAGATGCACAGAGAACTAAATTGTGAGCAAAGATAATCGAAACATATTGAGGAAGTTAAGCAAATAGTTGACTTACGTGTTGAAGTACTTTGCAGGGAACGCAATATTCATGCAAGATTTCGTCGATGTTGGTTATATTTCGCTGTTCTAAACAACTTTGTGACATCCAGAATTAGTCCATTCATGCCAATCAAGCAAGTTTCTCTCGAGAGATAATTCCATTTAAAGAATTCAAAAAGAGCTTCAACATCGTAGCGTTCAAAGTATGACTGTTTAACTTCCTCTTATACGATAGCCTTTATTCTGCACAATCTTATATCAGAACACTTCATACTCCTCACGAGTACTAATACACAGTCATGTAATAACACACCATCGTTATATATTCCTACACAAAACATGCCTATATGAAACTCAACGCTCGATTTTTGTTCCTTCCAAGAATAGCTCTATATTGTATGAATGGCCCGGTTCGATGATTTTGCTGAAAGAGAATGCGTTGAACTGGATGGGTACTTCAACACGATAATGCTCAAAACAGGCAGCGGTTTGCAAAACGATACAGAGTTTTCAATATTCCCTGGTTCGCCCCTCAAACCATGCAAATGAGAATTAAACATCTAGTAAAGTGCTATACTAGCCGGGGGAGATGTGAGTTGGTTTATCGGTACGGAACTTCACTCGCTCAACTCACTGTGAATCGGTCATTTGTAATTACTCCCAATAACTTTTTAAACCTTTTTCTATATGCTATGCACTTTCTCCCTCTTTTCTTTCTCTCCTGACTCTCTCTTTTCTTCCTCTAATTCATCTCTTTCTCTCCCTCTCTCCTTTTTTTTTAGTTACTTTCCTTTCTTGTTTTCCCTTCTTCATTCCATTTCTCTCCCCAGTCTCTCTGTCTCTTTGTACTTGTTTGAAGGAGATTGAAACCCGGTATGGGGGGCGGGGGTCCGTTTTTGGAGTTACTGGGCTACGTTCTCCTTTAATTCCCTAATTCTATATTCTTCTATATTTCGTCTTTCTAGTCTTTTTCCCTTTATTCTTATGTTCTATGTAATTTGCATTATAGTTAATTATTTATTTATCCATACTTTTTATTCAATTGATAATTGATATAAATGTATTTATATTATACATTTTGAATAAATTGTGTAATTTTATGTAATATGATTCACCTGGATAGAAAGTTTCTTCTTTTCGTTTTGGAAGAAGACAAGAAATGATATATTCTATTCTATTATATTCTGTCCTCGTCTTTTTAGTTTTGTATAACATGTAATTGTATATTAGTCTGTTTTGTGTGTATAGCGCTTAGAGACTTCGGTGGTAAGCGCTCTATAAGTAACGTTTTTATTATTATTATTATTATTATTTCAAACTGGTACAGACGGACACCGGTTCGAAACTCCGGATGTTAATGTTCAAGGTTTGTCCCCAGAAGTAATTATGATTAATACACGTCTCTAATATAATTTTTTAACCAAAATGTTTATATGCACACATATGCACTTTACCCTAGCCTAGCCCTTTGGCAATCTATAAAGCAAAGTACTGTACATTCTGTTTAACGGACGGCAATGAACAGGCACACAGTATAATAGTAACGTAGTGAAGAGACCTATTTTTGCCTTGGAAGACAAATTCGAAATGATTTACTTATTCATTTAAGGGCAATGGTATATTTCTCAAAGTAAACCTTTATGCAGACGACCGCTTTGTAAGAATCAAATTTGGTGACGATTCTCTTCTCAACGTCGTTATACGTACCACAACAGTTGTCTGATAACCTCCAAAATACTTTCCTATATAACATAAGAACTAACTTCTCTCTGCTAAGGAAATTAATTCATTGGAGCAGGATTTATAGCATGAAATTGAGGAAATGAACACGGTAACAATAATATTCTGCGATCACAGCTCAAAAGATTCGTTCACACGTTTTACTATATGAACTTGCGTTCTCTTCTGATTCATATTTGGTTTCGTTCTTTCTTCATTCCTTCCACCTTTCTTTCTTACTAATTTTCTTTCTTTCTTCTTTTCTTTCCATTTTTCTTTCTTTCTTAAAAAAGAAGAAGAAAGATTCGAAATAAATTATATCGGACGTGAACAGATCGATCCTTGATATGCACTGTCGCCAAATCCTTCTGTGGTCATTTCTTGCACGAAAAAAAGAAGAAAAGTTTCTTCCTTTGTAATCACACATATTATTGATTTAGTTCACAAACTTTTTCTCTTTGTTTTGCCTCTAACGTTAGTTAACGTTAGGCAAAGCCGAAAGTTTGTGATCAAAATGAAAGGACTGTTGGATTACAAAGCATGAAACGTTTCTGAAATGAAAATTTTGCGTCATGATGTTATTATGCAAGCACGTAGATTTGATTGTATATACATGTTTGTATTTTTAGACAGCAGACATTTCTGTATATCTGGCCGGACATATAGCCTTGTCGTAATTAATATTATATATATAAAATCCATTTCGTCTGTCAATTTATATCTTAGTTTCGTTCCCCCCCCCCAAAAAAAAAACACACACACACAACAAAGGTACCCCTTTCTCTTTTTTCACCCAGCTCTATTTCTGATTTGCCCCAATTGCCCTTTTGAACACGCTGTCGCCTTTAGTCATTTATATTTCCCAATATTAAGCCTTGATGTTCATCAATGCTTTCTCTCTCTCTCTCTCTCTTTCTCTTTCTCATCAATCTGTTCATTTCAAAATGTAACTATGTTACCACGCATCTATGTAACTTTCTTGTTCTTGTTATTATGTTTTTCTTCAAACCCCTACCACACATGTTCATGTTGGCAAATATCATGTAATTCCAAGGGATAAATAATGCGGCTAATTATGAATGACATCACTATCGTCACAACTTTATTAACAATTACAACATTAACAGCTGCCGTATGCTAAAATCGATACATTTTTTATACAATGTCACAAATAGACTTTCCTGTATCTTGTGTCTCCACTATGATATTACATACAGATAATTCAGGTAAACACGTACCTTCACCGCTCTTTAATATCATTCTATACAGTGCAAATCATGGATGAACCCAGAAACATATCAGAATGTATGTTTAAGGTGCAACTATTAAGATAAGTTTATAGTATCATATATGCCAATCAGTTGTCATTTCGTCAGCAGAAATAGGCCGGAAACTTCCACTTATCGCAACAGGCAGTATTTCAATACCTTGCACTTTATAATACGTGGGGAAAAAAAAATCAGCTAACCGGTATTAGTAAAAAGTTTTAAACATGTTCCAAATCAGTGATAAATATTTCTCATTTACCATACACAACAACAGAGCCATGCAGTCATACACACAGATCGGCCAAAATGGGGTTCAGTTGGATACACTCCGATGCACATTCCTTGTTCTGCCCTTGCCCGACAAAGCAATATGGCGCCGTATTGTGTCCAACTTGGACGATGCTGCTACATCCATCGATGATCCTGAGCAACAGGTTACAAGGACGCCCTCAGATGGAAGCAAATTATATTGTAGAAAGTTGTAGCGATGTATGGGGGGGGGGGGGGTAATTAGGCCATCGTGAGCATAGAAATATACGAGAAAAAATAGCCTACATTAGATTATAGTATGAATGTCTGTTTTGAGCATTCCCTAGGAGCGATCCGTGCGCAAGATAAATGTAGCCATTGTTATTATTATTATTTGAGATGTAAACTAATTTGCTCTCATCTAAGGGCGTCCTTCAGAGTCATCTTCTTCTTTTCTTTTTTTTCGGGGGGGGGGGGGGAGGGGCAAGCACACAACAGGGAATGTGCACCAGACTGTCCAACTGAATCCGAGTTCGGTCGATATAATGTATATGATTTAATATATGATAATCTCGCTGCTTATGAGAAAAGGGAAATAATTATCACAGATTTTGGCTATTTTTTTACAATTTTCTACCTCTCATATTTCTTAGAAATGTTTACATATTATTAAGTGCCATTCAATGATACTATAGCAGTTTAAATATCTTCTGTTTAAATTTGTGAGAGTATTTCCGTAAAGCTATCGTACTACATCATGTGCATGGTGACCAAAATGTTTTCTACTTAGTTGTCATTATTGAGCACGAGAATGAAAGTATCGTCTTCCCTTTTCTCTTCTCCTTGGTATATTCGTACTATTATTTCAATTCATAAGCGAGGTTGAGCTTCCCGTACTGATTGCCGATATCCAAAATGCCGGTCTCATCTGAGGAGACTGTGTTTCCCAGGGGCCTCTGAAGATGTGAATAGTCTTCATCGACACCGTCTCGCTCACAATCTGGTAGGTTGTACTCGTGATAATCTCCTTGTTCTTTGCCTACAAACAAAACATTGTAGTCCTGTTCTCCTACCTCGTTGTAGATGACTGTGTTGCCTTGTCTTGTAGGTGGGACAGAGGTGGGAAAATTGTGTCGAATGCTCTCATAGGACAAGGGCATGGCAGCATTTAAAGCGCCCTCTATTGGATTTACACATTCTGTGTAATCATTTTGGTCCGCAGCGGAGGTCTTGAAGCTAGGATTGAGAACATTTGCTGGGGCGTCAAGGTGAGGATCCCGATCTTCTGATCTTGATAATTGTCTAAAAAGAAAAAAAAGGAATAATAGAATAACGTCAAAAGATGCATGATTTTTAAAACACACTAAAGCAAGAGATTGGCAGAATATACGATGGGTCTCCTTATTCAGTAAAAAATGGTTGATGGTTTTTATTTATTGCATTGCCTGTTTAGGCACGTTTCTATAAAGAAACAGAGTTGTGATGTACATGTACAATGAGTCCTATCCGAGGGAATAATTAATTAATAAGTAAGAGTGGGGACGATGATATCAACGATGATAAAAGTTCTCACCCCCCCCCCCCCGCACACACAAACACACACCTTACTTTATTTCTCTGTTTCTTTCTGTGCCACGTCAATAGATTTTGGCTTGTTCCAGACTCTCTCCCTTTGTTTCCTCAACATTAGCTCCATGCCACGACCCTCTCCCCCATCTCTCTCTCTCTCTCTCTCTCTCTCTGTCTCTGTCTGTCTCTGTCAGATCATCTCTGTACACTACCAACCCATAACTCAGATATTTTCCGAAAAATTATGGGAATAAGAATGATAACAATTATACGGGAAAACAAAGAATAGAGCAACATAGAAAATGATACCTTTTCTTGTAGCAGATGACTCCAGAGATAACGATAATCAGAACCACGACAACGACGACGATGACGGCTGGGATCACTGGATTAATGGAGCCTGGGGATGATGTATCCGAGATATATCATACAAATATATTTAATATGGACATGATTCGAAACCATTGGAACATTTTACTTGACAAGTTTAAGGTGTTTATTCTTTAACCATATAGTCATGAAATTCCTTTTTATATGGGTGATGATAAATTTGATCG